TCCTCCTCCTCATCTTCATCATCTTCATCCTCCTCCTCCTCATCTTCATCCTCCTCATCTTCATCATCCTTCTCCTCACCTTCATCATCCTCCTCCTCCTCCTCATCTTCATCATCTTCCTCCTCCTCCTCACCTTCATCATCCTCCTCCTCCTCCTCACCTTCATCCTCCTCCTCCTCCTCCTCCTCACCATCTTGATACTGAGAGCAGAACTCGGGGCCTTGCACTTGCCGGGCGGCACTGCACCACTGAGCTACATTCCTGGCCCAAAATTAAATTTAGCTTAAATAATTTGACCAATTCTTTTTTAAAAAATTAATTTTATATATTTAGAAAGAAATAGCAATGAGACGTTTTCAAAACAGGTTAGTAGGACAGTCACAATAATTAATACGTTGCATATCCAATTCTATTTGAACATTATTTTCCTTTGCCAATATATATGCTCCATTTATTTAATGTACTTTTTGTTGATTCTTAAGATACTCCAATAATCACATTAAATTAAGCAAATAAATAAGTAAAATAGAATAAATGGATGAAACATTACATTTACTTTATGTAATTTGTACATATCTTGTGTAGATAAAGATAAAAAGAACACTTTTTTTGGTGTGGTACCGGGGATTGAACTCAGGACCCTGCGCTTGCCAGGCAGGTGCTTATTCTACTGAGCTATCTCCCTGGCCCCTAGAACATGTTTTAAATAATACTCACTTCTTTTGTTAGGGGCGCGATTCATTGCTTTATTTCCTTGACCACAGTAAACCTGGGTGGGAGGAGGAAGAGTGGTCTTCCCAGCCCTCCTCCACGGCCAGGCTGCTTTCCTTCTGTGCTGTACCAGTGATCTTCCAAAGCACAAACCCTTGTGGATGAACTAACCTAAGCTGACTGCAGTACAAGTGCCTGGTGTTCCCAGGCCTCGCCACGTGGCCAGGGTGTTGTGACCACTGCAGTGCAGAGGAGCTGCTCCACTGCGTGGAGAGCCGTGTGCGCTACTCAGTCCTGGGACTGTAGAGGCAGACAGCTGTCTGTAGCAGGATCTGAGTCCTGTCTGCGCATCGAACGGGCAGATGGCGAGATTATATTTCCTGACCTAGTCTTTGATAATAGAAGCATAAGTAATCTGATATCACCCATACAGCAGCCTTCCTTTGGCTGGGGGCATAGCTCAGAGGATGGAGGGCTTCCCTAGTGGGCACCAGGCTCAGCGTCTGACCCCCAGGACTGCAAAGAAGAGCAGGGGCTTTTCCTAATGTCACTGCTGGTCGCCTCGTGCTGTCTTGGGCATGGAGCGAGGCTCTGCCACCCCTTGCTGAGTGGCTTTGAGCAACTCCATGGTGCTAGCTGTGTTCCCTTCCCTCGCCATGAGAGAGGCCGGCATTGGCTTCCACTGCATGGAGTCACGATGCCTGTGTACTGGCCTGGAATGAGCAGCTTTGCTGCAGTTCCTTTGTGCATTCCAAGGCCACTCCTGTCATCTTGTAGTCCTGCCCCCCAGGTGCCATGCATGCCCTTTGTGTTTTCCTTAGAGTCCTTAGGATCCCCTTGTTTTCTTAAAGCAGCTCTTCTTTTTATGCACCCTGTTTTCAGGACAAACTCTCTTAGTGTCCCACACTGGCTCTGGAATCTCCAAGGCCACTCAGCCTGTGTCACAGCCGGGTCCCCATGGCTGCCCAGGACAGGTTGTCCAGCCATAGCCATTACCCCACCTGGCTCCCTGTGTGCCCCCACCTGAAATGCTAGCCATGTAATCTCTCCCCCATCTCAAGCCTCTAACGTGGCAGTTGGGGGACTTTGGCCCTGCTCCCATGACAACCAAAGAGATCCCTGAGCTCCCGAGGCCTGCGGGACACCTGGCTCCACTGTTGACCTTGCCACGGAATCAGGAAAGGAGGAGACAAGTCAGCTAGTGACCAGTGGGACAGTGCGTCCTGGATAACCATGTGACACTCTGTGAGGTCCAGGAGGTGACAGAGGTGAGGCCTGGGTCAGGTCGCATGCGACTGACCGTCTGCCGGAGAGCCTTGAAAGGTCACAAGCAGCACAAAGGCAGATTTCACCTCCCAGGCATCCCTTTGGAGTGTCCGCTGGTGGCCAAGTGCATGGCTGATGTTCTCAGTGCAGCGTGACAAGAGCAGGCTGCAGCTCGCTGACGACCTTCCCATGGAGTCTGTAAAGCACACCCTCTCTGTCACCTTGAGCCTGTTGTTCACCTCCTCACTGTTAGCTGTGACCATTATTGTTGCTTATTAATGATGCCTGTAGCCAGTGTTTTTAGGTCACACAGAGAGCTTTGTTCCCTTCCTGAGCTCTCGTGTTCGTATCAGATGGCCATCTGTGTTTCTCGGTGGCGCTGAGGAGAGCTGGCTTACGACTTGTTCCGAACCTCAGGGCACCTGCCCAGGATTGAGGTTTTTATGCTAACCACTAAGACCACTGTATTAGAGGATCAATGAATGTAAACCTTCTCCTTATTGGGGTGGATCCGAGTGGGCAGGCGATACAATCCCAGCATGCTGGAGGCTGAGGCAGGAGAATCATGATTTTGAGCCCATGATCTGAGCAACTTAGGCCTTGTCAATCTCAAAATTATATAGGTAGATAGAGGTAGAGGTAGAGGTGGAATTAGAGATAGAGATAGAGATAGAGACAGAGACAGAGACAGATAGAGATTGAAAAGGGTTGGGAATGTAGCTCAGCGAGAAGGTCCTGACTGTGTTCAATTCCATATACCAAAAGTAAGAACAACACAAAAATGTAACTCTGGGTAGGCAGTTTGACAAAAAGGAAAAAAATCCAAGAAACAATACCAATCAAAACTCCGGTGCTGCAGAATCCAAAGCAGCACCACCCACCACCAAACCGGGGACTCACCTCCCAAGACAAAGCGTGGCAGCTTGGCATTTCTCACCAGGACAGAGCCGGAGCACAAGTGGAAATCACCCCCAAGAAAGAGCCTTCCTCAGCCTGAAAATTATTCATTCTTTGCCAGTGTCAGCATATGCTATATTTTTTGATTGCTTATATTTAAAAATCTATAAAAGCCATAGATTGAATGACCTAAAGTTAAATTTTGAATTGTTTCCTCCATTGATTATTGGTTAATTCTGTTTTAAATCATAATCTCTAAAATTTGTGATTGAGTTCCACAGTCCAATCAGCAGAGGTCAATGATTTCCTTCTTCTATTCCTGTTAATTTCTACACTCTGAACACCCGGGATTCGCTCTGTGGAAGAGCCCGAGGTGCCGTATTCTTTTATGTTCTTATTTTCATCTTGTTCATTTTGGCTTTGTGTTGGGAATCCTGTTCCTTCAGTGAGGATAGAAAAGCAGATGCGCGCTCAGCGAGGGCGCTCCGCGTGGGCGGTGCTGGCTGTCTTTTCCCGGAGACCCGCCTCGCGTTTTCTAGAACTGAGCCCTGCAGCCAGCCCCGCTCCCCTCGATGGCCTTCCCTCGACTGCCAGGGCCCCCGTCCCCAGGCTGCCCCGTGGCAGCACCTGAAAGCATTCGCTGCTCTCCACCATAGTCTTATAAAATAAGCTCTAAAGAATGTTTCGGCTACATAAGCACATATAAAATAATGATGGCTACAACTACACATTTTGAAGAATTTGTATTATCAAGTTTTGTTGCCATTTTGTTGGGTCTCCAGTTCCTTGTGCTTCCTTCTTTTTTGTGGAACCAGGGATTGAACTCGGGCACTTGCCCTTGCCAGGGAGGCGCTTACTTCACTGAGCCATCTCTGCTCTGGGGTGCAGGACGCCTGAGGGCCCGGGTCCCTGCTCGTAGCTCTGGCCCTGGTGCAGGCTGCTCCCGGCCTCAGGCACCCCTTTTGTCACCCAAGTGTAGCTGTGAGAAGTGTGTGCAGCATACGTGCTCTCTGACAGTCGTTCTTCCTGCCTCGATTCATTACAGAGAAGCAGTGTGTAGGACCGTAAGAGTGTGTGCACTCAGGTGGGGTACAGCAGTAGACTTTTACTAAATAAATTACCCGAGTAGAATGCATTTCTGAAAATCTGACTAAAGGTAGCAGAGAGGAAAGACCAGTGGTTTCCCTCTTGATGCTTCGGTCCCCACTGCCCCCAAACCCAAGGTGAACTGTCCCTGGGCGCGTCTCCCTGACCCCCCTCTGAGAGCCCTGCGGGAGGACCCCGATCTGCACACCGTGACCTCACCCATGTCTCTGGCAGCTCGCTCTCCAGCAGGCTGGGTGGTCGCAGCTGGCAGCCCACTGTGTTCATGGCCCACAGAAGCGAGGGCATTGCAGAGTGTGGGCAGCGTGGTTCAGAGGGGTATGCCCAAGACAGCAGAGGAGGCCGCAAGGCCGCCTGCCCTCAGGTGCAGCCAGATGAGCTCCTTCTCCCGGGCGAGGCTCCTGCACACCCTCACTCTTTCCTTACTCACTTGGTTGCATTTGTGAAGCTCTTTGTGCTGTGCACAGAGCGTGGCCTGTAAACCTGCTGACAGCCCGCCCCCACCCACCCATCCCCGTCTCTCAGGCAGGAACTCTGTTAAAACTTCCTCGCTGTTTTCTGTGCAGAACGTGAGACACTAAGCAAAGTCATTCACTTCCACAGATGAGGAAGCAGGCACTGAGAGCTCGGTTGACAGAAAACAGAGTTACACTGATAGTCACATTCAGCTTGACTAGAAGTATTTTGTTTTGTGCACACTCGGGGCTAGAAGTCAGTCACCCTCCTCTTTCACCAGGCAGAGAAGACTAGAGTGAGGGCACTGGGTGCCCCCCCAGGTGAGCAGAGCCCCTGCTGTGACACGCTGGGATCTCTCAGAGCTTGTCTCCACCCTGGACCACGCTCCCTGCAGATGGGCCCTGGCTGGTGCCGTGGTACAAGTGCGTGACAGTGGCATCAGCCCACCAGCAGGGCTGGCACATGGCAGTGGCCAGGGCGCTCATGCCCAGAAGGGAGGCCTGGAGAGGGGCATCACCGCCACGGTCGTGGCCAGCACACAGAGCACGTGAACCCCCTTCTGAAGGTCCTCGGGACAACGCACAGCCACCCGCAGGGGGACCCATCTGATAATATAAATCAGGCTGCCGTAAAGGCGGCGGAAGGTGACAACATGGTACAACAGGAAAAACGGCTGTAATCTGTGTTTTTAAAAAGGCATTAAGGTTTCAAATCAAATTGGTAGGACAGTTTCAATAATTAACACATTGCATACTCTCTTCCTAGTGGTTATTTGCTGTACAAGATGCGAACATGATATACTATTTACAAACACTATTAGAACAAATCCCTCTATTCATTAAGAGAATGTGACTATATATCTATCCTAACCAATTTGAATATGCAGATAAAAATAAATAAATTAATTAGTTTCCAAAAAAGAAAAGGCATTGAGCGTAGACCCACACGGATAGAAAGAGGGTGATCATAATGTTGTAAGATTTAGTCTGTGACAGTCAGTAAGTCCACTGTTGAATCCTCTTCTCTCATTGTCCCACTTATTCTAGCCGAATGTGGAGCAAGCATCAGAGGCCATGAAGGCACGCTGCTGTCTCCGAACTTCCCATCCAATTATGACAATAACCACGAGTGCATCTACAAGATAGAGACGGAAGCCGGCAAGGGCATCCGCCTCCAAGCCCGGAGCTTTCAGCTGTTCGCAGGAGATACTCTCAAGGTAAAGGGCCTCGCTCCCCGGGCCACCGTCTTTCCCTGCTCTGAGGGAACCTGGTGCCCACCGGCCACCCACCCATCCATCGTCGTGGAGGGGGGTGACGGATGCAGGAGTCCCCAGCTACTGGCTGGCTTTTGTCTCTAGTCCTGCCTGTCATTTTCCCCCATACATCTGTCCATTCATGTACCAGTCATAGATGTGTGACACGGCTTTCTTCCTGTGTCATGTATTCCTTTGGGGGAATATTGACACAGCTATTTTTATTCATCTATAAAGACTGACTGCAACAGTTTTTGGTGGGGAGCGCAGTACACTGGTTGTGTTGCTATAAGTTTCATTCAGCAGGATTCCAGGCTTGCCGAGGGTAAGCAACACTGCGCCATCCGCCCCAAGAGGCCTCACCCAGCAAGCACCCGCTGTCGAGGCTGTCCCAGGAGGAGCGGGTAGGGACAGGCCTGTCACCTTGGCGGTATGAGCAGAAGCCACGGAAGCCTGCCGGGGCCCCTCTAAACAACAGCTTGACCAGGAAGGGATTGTGTGTTATGCTAGATTAGCCAGAAAGAGAAATGTTGATTGATAAAAAAGAGGACATGGGGCTGGGGAGATGGCTCAGTGGAATAAGCGCTTCCCTGGAAAGTGCAAGGGCCTGAGGACACAGTGGGACAATCTGCCTCTGTCCCCGAGAGTGCCTGAGGCAGACACTTTGCCGGGGTTGCAGCTCTCCAGTCAGCACCGTGGCTCATCCTGTAGTTCTTCAAGGCGCCAAAGCCCTTTTCCTGTCACTTAGCCAACCCCAGGCTGTAGACCACTGTAAGGAGGTCTATAGGAAAGTTAGCCTTCAGTTAAAGTTTTTAAAACTTGTGAAAGCATACTTCTTTGTTTCAGTGTTCGCAGATTTTTGCTCTTCCCCCCCTTTCCCAAATCCTGTGCTATGTCATGTGTTCTTACTTATTTATGGAAATTGATTTGGGGGTAACTAACGAGCCTCACTTCGTACAGTCTGTCTGAACGTTGAAGCAGCCTGCCTGTGATCCCAGACCTGAGCCCACAGCCTCGTCCCACGAGGCCGCTCAGTGAGTCCGGCGCGCACCCTACCTAGAGACCTGCAACGAGACAGGCCCTCCCAGCTTTTGTGAGAGTTAGATAACAATGTTGAGCTATTCCTGGCATTGTATGTAGCCTCTACGTGCAACTATTAACATATCTGGGACCCCGAACCAACCCTCTCTTTCACTTGCGGAGGAGCCACGCCAGGCAGAGGGACACCCAGCCTTTCTCTGACTTGTGGAGACTCTGCTGCACTCAGAGATGTCCCTGCATTCTAAACCTTCTGTTTCAGGCCTATGTCACCTGTAGCTATCTCAGAGGGCTGGGGAAATAGTTCAACAGAATAAGTGTTTGTCTGGCAAGCACAAGGTCCTGAGTTCAATCCCTGGTACTGAAAAAAAAAAAAAAAAAAAAAAAACACCTTCATGCTATCTTAAAGAACTGGGACTTTCCAGGGCCCATGCACAAGGCAGTAGCAATGTAGACGCAGCCCCTGGGTGCTGGAGAGAAGGCCGCAAGCCTCTACGGCTCAGTGCGGCTCATGAGAGTGCAGGCCACGAGGTCCACAGGGAACAGGCACACAACACAGCTTGGCGTGTCGGAAGCCACGCTGAGTGCGAGGGGTGCCGCCTACTCTTCTGTTCCCCGTGTGAAGCTGGTTTAAGTACCCTAAGCTTCTCAGGTGCCCACTCTGCTCTGAGAATTTGCAGATACCTGGCAGGAAAACTCGCATGCATCCTTGTTCATCCTGAGTACAGGACCAGGGAGGCCATGCTGTCTCCCCAAGTGAGGAGCTCAAGCCAAGGAGAGTGGGGCAGGGCTTTGCAGTGCACAGTGGCATAACATGCTTTATGCTGCTTATTCTTTTATTTTAATAGTCTTTTGGGGAGTTCATGCTGACAGCAGGAAGGACTGTAATTAAGAGGGGTTTTCAGAGGCCACTGACTCCTGCATTTGAGGTGTGGAAGAAGTTAGAAAATTTCTACTTACACCTAACTATACAATTTTTTTCTTGGAAATTAGTAAGAATGTGCTGACTTCCTGGCACGGGCGGTGCCTGCTGCACCCTGAGGCCTGCACGGGCGGTGCCTGCTGCACCCTGAGGCCTGCACGGGCGGTGCCTGCTGCACCCTGAGGCCTGCACGGGCGGTGCCTGCTGCACTCTGAGGCCTGCACAGGCGGCAGGTTCAGCGTCACTGCCTAAGGTGTTGGATGGCAGGCAGGGAAGGAGGCCTGCTCAGCCCTGCCTGCTGGGGACTCGCTGGCAGACCACGAGTGAAAACAGCCTCTTGCTCGCCATGTTTTCTTGCAGGGAAAGTGTCATGTGAAGTGCCTTACCGGAGTAGATGTGTTCGAAGGAGCTAATAAACATCGCAGCACTAGAAGTATTTCAATTTAAACTGCCACGATGTGAGGGCCGAAGGCTGCCCACACCACCCCACATGTGTCCTGGTGTCCTATAGGCCGGAGGACAGGCTCACATGTGCCCCCACCCACTGTGACACAGACATGAAGGGCAGAGGAAAGAGAGGCTGTTGTCAAAGGATGCCAAGGCTGGGCTGCTGGGGACAGCCCCGGGCCTCCTTCTGGAACCTACCCGAGGCTGTCCCAGAACACTCAGCTGGCCGTGGACTGAGTGTTTTCTAAGCTGTGGGACTCCTGAGTGTTTTCTAAGCTGACCACCTGCTCACTCCTGTGGATCAGGTGGCTCAGAGTAGCTTCTCTTGGAACTGAGGGGGCTCTAGGAGATACCTGCAGATCCTGTAGCTGGGCGTGAAGGCAGCTAGAGCAGAAACCCACTCCCCAGCTTGCCCCGCTGCCCAGCTCTACTCTGTGGCCAGTGCAAGCCTCAAGCCCACGTGGCTGCCTGAGAGCAGCCACAAATGCTGCACCCTCGGGTGACGCCTGGGAAGCCCACGGCCAAGCCGGGAGCTAGCTATGTACACACAGGAGAATGGGCTGCACTGGAGGGGAGGGCTGGCAACACTGTTGCTGCTCATTTCCCATGGTGAGAAAGAGGCTGTGCGACCGTAGGGCCCACAGGTGATGCGGACACTGTGTCCAGCCCTGGGGCATGGTGGGGCTGTTCCAGAGCTGCCCGTCACCTCTCATCTTCCCCGCCCACCTATCTTTGAGGGTTCCTAGGAATCACATGGGAAGGCGCAGCATGGGGCACTGGGTGGGCTGGCCTTCGGGGTGCCGGCGTTACCCCTCAGAGCCAACATCCTGCAGACTTAGTCCTGTGTTACCCTGGGTATCAGCACCCTGATGGGGGGAGTAAACTGCAGTTCCAACCAAGCAGCCTCTGACCACAACAGCCTGTTAGGAAGGAAATTAGAGGGCATGTTCTGCTCCCCACTGGGCTGAGCTGGTCTGATTGCTTTCCTGTCTGGGGGTGCGACGTCGGGTGTCTGTCTGAGGACTGCATGTGCTCCCACAGGGAGAGGGTAGGGTCGAGGCAGGGAGGCCCTTTTGAGCAGAAGGGCAGAAGCACCCTGGGAGCCTTTGGCCTTCAAATCTCTTGCAGCAAGAAACACTGGGTGTTCTTCATTATGCCGTGAGACATTCTGACTCATGCAAAAGCCCTTAGCTAGCAGGTGGCTTTCTCTAGGTGCTCCACCCTGCGCAGGACAGGACCTTCAGTCAGGGGCGTGGGCAGCAGAGAGCACTGTGGGGGAGGGCATCCCAGCCCAGGAGGCAGGACTCCATCTGTGCCACCTGTGGTGCCCGGGTGCCCAGATTCAGGGCCATGCTGCCCAGTGCCTGCTGGGACCCAGGCCCACCCGCCAGTGGGTGAATGTCTAGTGCTACTCAGAGAGGGCCCGTGACAGGTGCCTAACGTGAGCACAGGCGGCACTGGCCTGCGGCACTAAGGGTAGAGGACAGGCTTGGAGCAAACCGCTGGTCTCGCCCTGCTGGCCCACTGGCTCCCACGCTTGTGCAGCTGTGACCTGCCGAGGAGAGCTCCACATTCGGGCCTTTGGGTCTTTATCAGAATTACACCAAAAGAGTGAAGGACCACACGACTCACACTGTTAATTTTCATTAGGTCTACGATGGAAAAGACAGCTCATCGCGTCCACTGGGAACCTTCACTAAGAGCGAGCTGATGGGGCTCACCCTCAACAGCACCTCCAACCACCTGTGGCTGGAATTCAACACCAACAGCTCGGACACCGACCGCGGCTTCCAGCTGACCTACACCAGTAAGCAGCGCGCCGGCTCTGTGCACCCCCGGCCCACCGTCACTGCTGCGGGCTGCGTGGGCTGGGTTGCTTAGCCTAGCTGTGCTCTAAATGGGAGTTTAGGTCTGCATACTGTTGACCAAGCAGCACATGCAGACACGTGAGGAGAAGCAATAGTACAAAATGAATCAATTAGATGTATTCATATTTTAATAATCAAAGCTCTGGATCTGAAAAGAAAACATCTCATGATTCTGAAGGGCATCTGAGATGGAAAATAATGATCATGAAATCATACTCTCTTTCAAAAGCTCACAGACACAGGTATGGAAGACGTGTAGCGAGTGTCTGGTGTAACTAGTAGCAGTGTAAAAGCCGCATACAAACGTGTAAATAATCGCATAGATATATGAGCACATACAGAAGATGTAACTACTGGCAGTGTTGAATTCTTTTTAGCACCACTGATTTCCCAGATGGAGAATGAACAGAGAGCTTGGTCAGTCTCCCAGCGTAGCAGCTGGCGGCTGGGGAGCTGGGCCGAGTCTGTGGCTCACAGTTGTACGTCGAGCTCTCTCGCTATCATAATAACACAAATCGATGTGGCAACTTAAGGAAGTAAGTGGAAAAAGTGAAGAGAAAGGAAAAGAAAGCATAAGTTATGTATTAAAAACATGAGTTCGAGATATAATAACTACTACTTAGGATATTTTTGGCTATGAGGTTAAAACTTGCTCTTGGTAACTAATGGTAAGTAATCAATTTTAACACTTAAAACAGAACACTCGTTGCTCGTCTGATGTGACTGATCCTCAGAGCTGGTGCCTTGATTCGACAGCCAAGTCACGTCAGGAAGGACAACCAACACCCCACCCTCTGGGCCAGTCCAGCTGCCTAAGAGGAGGGCTGAACCTCAGATCCCCCTAGTAGAAGAAATCACAAAGGAAGAAAATTAAAACTTGGAATAAAAATAGAATTAGAGTGACCAGTGTTCTAAGGAACCAATTTGTTACTTTTGTGATAATACCATTGAAAAGAGTCAGTTAGTCGAAATCCTCTTAACTGCTTTGCACGCATGGTGAGTTGCTGACAGTGGATATTAGGGTATAAATTTACAGTTGCGACTTTTCTTTATGAGAACTCCTCTTCTTAGATTTTCCCCATCAGAAACATTGCAGAGAGCACTTGTGAAAGGACTTCGCTGTGCTTGCTGAGGTGTGTGCAGCTGAGACCCTCCCCTGGGCCACGACCTCCACCCAGGTGTTTTGTGTGGCTTTCGAGAACATGGTAGCACCCACCTGCTAGCTCCTACGTTAGTGGTAGAAGAACCTACATACTAGAAAAGGAAGTCCCCTTTGGTGGCATTCTGAGTCTAGTGTTCAAGGCTCTGTGCGCTCCTAACTGTTCCTTTAATCCTCCTGTCACCAAGCCTTCCGCTGCTGCCATAGCGTGCGCCACAGAGCATGCATGTTGCCATGGTTCCCACCAAACCAGAAAGCTTTGGCCTGGGTATCACACCCCCTATTTCTGGTCTTCCCTCTTTGAGCTCACCTGGCACAGGGTCTGGGCCTGTGACTCACTGAGTCTACCCCTCTCCTGCCTGGCTGCTTCACAGAGAAAGAGTAAGGCCCAGCCTGGTCACCTCCCCACCTTGTGCACTGGCCTCTGTTTTATCTCCTACTTCCAGCAGGGGTTGCTTTTCACTTCGGATCACTTGGCCTTCCATTCTCATGGTGGGCAGAGGTGTCAGGAGGGAGACCCAGGCCCACACACTGGTGTCTCCGGAGTCTCGTTTCTGGGTGAGCAGGCATTACTGGCTGCCCCTGGCATCCCCAGGCCCCTTTTGGCATCCAAGTGGCATGCAGGACCATATGCTCCCATCCATGTGACCGGTTAGAGAATGCCAGCCACAGACGTACCCCTGGGGTTCACTGTGGGGCAGTGTGTGCGACGTGCATGTCCTCCACGAGCATTGGATGCTCGGTTCCTGGAAGACACACTGAGCCCGTGCGCCATGCCGCTCCAGGGCCTTGCTAGCGGGCGGCGTGGGCCTGAGGCTCCTTGGCAGCTTCCTTCTGAGCCTGAGTGTCATCCACTCTGACTGTCTCAAGGTGACAGCACTGCTGGCACAAGGAAAGAAAGGGCCACACAGTGATGCCTCATGGCCTTGCTCAGTGTCAGAGGCAGATGGGCAGCGGGGCCAGCATGCGGCGCCGTCTCCTGCACTTGGTGCGGTGCTTCATCGCCTTTGCTCACTTACCATGTGTCCCAGGAGAGATAAAACGTGAGCCTTCACGGAGTTGTAAAAACGCTCCCAATGAAGCCGCAGCGCCGCTCGCCTGAGCGTCCTGGCTCACCCTGGTGCTCTGCACAAGGACGTTGCCACGCCAGAGCTCCTTGTCTGAAGTTTGGATTTGAGCAGGCCTGAGATGACTTTTGAGTCATTTTTGAAGAGATTTAGTGGTTCAGCCCTTTCTTCTTGTACATGCAAGACCTCCTTGAATTCTGCGATAACGGGAGGACCACACATGCTGCTGCTGGCTCACTGGTCAGAACCGATGAGTAGATTTCTGGCTAACAGAACTTGGAGAAAGACGAAACGACTGGAAGAAGGATGACACAAGTGACTTAATTATCGGGATTAAGGGAAAGCATAGGACTACAGCGACGAAGACAGTGCCACAAAAGATGCTGCCACCGTGCTGTGAAGTCTAAAGTGTCGTGAAAAGAGGACAGATTTGTTTCGTTCTTCTTACGGGGTAATAAAAAGTGGTAGCTATTGTATGAACTGCTAATGGGTATCCTGCACTTGCTCAGCGTCTTTCTTAGGAAAGCAGGGCTCCCAGAGGCCCGGCACTGCGGGAAGAAAGCGCAGGGCTTGGGCTCCCAACATCTGGTTTTCTTTACCTGTGTGCAGACATACTTCACAATGCCTTAAAAAGAAAAAAAATTCCTGATATTTATTCAGATTCAGCATAATTAGTTTTCTGTACTCCACAAATTCTGGCATGAGGATATTTGAAGGCTACTTGGGTTTCTTTTCTTCTTACTTTTTTTTCTTCCAGTACCAAGGATCGAACTCAGGACCTTGTGCTTGCCAGGCAGGCGCTTTCGCCACTGAGCTATATCTCCATCACTTTTTCTTTTTCTTTTCCTCTTTTTTGTACCTGGAATCAAAGTTGGGTTCTTCTTTATTGTTTCTTTTTTTTTTTAGGGGGTGCTATTGGAATTTCTACAACCTCATCAAATACTTTTTTGTTCCAGTGTAAGTAAACATTTTAGAAACACTGATACGAAAATGTTGCCATCTGTTGAAAACCAACAGTTGGCCGTTGCCTTAGGGACAGAAAGCTAAGTAGGAAGACGACTGCAAACACGGAGGCTGAAGCTCGCCGAATCGAAAGGGTGCCCGAGCAGTGCTGCAGATGACCATGGGGGCGCGTGTCACGCTCAGGAGGCGGGGGAGGGAGGGCCTGTGCCCTCGGGCACGCGCAGCGCCGCTCGCCCGCCACGCCCCTGCCGCTCTTCTAAAGTAAGAAATGGCTTTTGAAGACTCGACCTTGAAATTTCATGAAAGTTAACAATCAGAGCCTACTGCTGCTGCTGAACGGCGTCCCAGGGTTTCCTGGGTGACGGCAGGCACTTGTAGCTCACGTCTCCTTGCAGCGCTCGGTGAGGGATGGCGTGGCTGCGCAGGAGGGAAGAGGCGCAGAGCGCAGCCCCACAGCCGTTGCTTGCTGACGTGGGGGTGGCTAGATTTAGAGAAAGCATTTATTTAGAAGATGAAGAGAAATAAGCCTTTTATTGGAGGTAGATGAATTTTGACATAGCCTGATATCTGGTATGTGATGTTTAATCTTGTGATATGAAGCATAAACTGCAGAAGCCGACCTAGCACAAATTGCTCTTTGGGAACTTCCCAGCCTACTCCTAAGCTCACAGCATGGCGAGAATGGGGCGGGATAGAAACGCAGAGGCCTGTAGTGAGCAGGAGGAGGGCTCAGGCCTGCTCTGGCCTGGGGCTCCAGGGAGCGGAGGCTGTTTCTTGCAGTTAAGCTCCGCAGAATAAAGAGGGCTTTACTTAGGAGCCAGAACTTCCTCATTCGGGGTGTTGGCATCACTGGTCAGAAAGCCCTTCCTTCAGAAAAACAAAACAAAACAAGGACGTGATCTTGTTAGCACGGGGAACACCTGGTGGTAGATGTGACGCTTTCAGGCAAGCCGTGGCAGCCGAGCCCTGATTCAGATGCGCACTCCAGCCCTCCCCGTGGGCCCCAGGGAGGCACCAGCTGGGCCTCACTGCAGTGACCACATCTGGGCCGGTGGCCGGGGCTTCCCTGCCCTGGATCGATGTATTCAGGCCAGGGCAGGACACATCTGGGTCAGTGACGCGTGTGCGGAAGAGCTAAGGCCGCGGAGCTCCCGAGGCAGCACAGGCGCCAGAGAAGAGACTGCTGCTCAGGTACTAGAGGCAGTGCCGGTCAGCCCAGAGGAGACAGCTCCTCTGTCCTCCTGCACAGGGAGGCATGGAAGGCGTCACCAGGAAGGCACCCACTGATGGGCACGAGTTCTTCTGTAATTTGAACATTCAATTATCTAACCAGCATTCAAAAAGTAAAAGACATATTTCTAAAACTATACCAAGGAAATGATTTTAGTAGGAATTATAGATAAGAAAATCATCAAAAAGCAAAAGGAAATTTTGGTTGGAGATTTATTCAGGCTGCTGTAGATCAAACCTTGAAGCGCTTGTCATGCCTCGTTGGCCAGCTAAGTTCACGGAGAACAAAGTACTGTTCTGTATTCCTGGTGCTGAAGGCTGCTGTACTGGTTTCATGCAAAGTAGCCTAATTCCTGCAAATATCTATTTTCATATGTACACGCATCACCAACGCTTACTGCTTCAACACAAATAATGGGGGAGAATAGGATTCTCTCTCTGGAAAATCAATTTATGGACAAATAGGAAACTGTAACTTCCAAGTCACTGCGTTAACTCATATTGCTGAATCCATCCTGAA